GCTCCTAAAACCCTGAAGTAGCCTACACCCCCTCTCTAATGGGCTCAAAAACCACCGAAAAGGTAGATAACTGAGGGGGGGGGTACCATATATATATTTGTATTTATTTGTAAATATAGGGCTCGAATGGCCTGCAAGGGCAGGATTATCGGCTGCCCCAGTTCCCGTAGAGTCGCCCCATATGGGGAAGGGAACGCCTTGAACATCAACCATGGTGAGCCGTGCTGTCTATGAGCTCCTGGAGTATAGGGATTCGATTTCACTTCGAGAGCTGCGCCTGGTCTTACAGGACCGGACATGCATCGACCTGACATCCGAGAGGTCCTTCATAAGGCAAGTGGCAGAGCATATTCTCGCGACACTGCCTTCCGGTCTCTACTTTATGCAAATGCCGCTTGAACAAGTAGCACGACCGTGCGACAGTTGCTACAAGTGCTGCTACTGTTGCAGTTCCGTGCATGACACGTGGAAGCGTGCTGTTCACAGAGGTGCCTTCTACATTTCTCCGTGCTGGGACTGACAAGCTGCCAAAGGCGAAAGCGTGGCATGATAGCATTGCGAGGAACACATGCTGCCATTTCAGATTGTCTTCGGAGTCTGTGGGACAACATGCGCATGAACGTCGCCGTACTCTGTTGGATTGCAACAGTTGCAACAAAATGTGGATCCAGCCTTCGGACAAGACGGTCGGTGGTGGTGACGGTATTGCAGGTGGTGTAAGGACGTACCATTCGGACGGAAGTCGTTGATTCGGTCATTGATCGAGGCCGGCAGCTTGCAGATAGTGGCATTGGGCTTCGAGGCTTCAGGGCCAGCAACGCTTGTGGTGGTGGAGGCCAAAACTCCAGCTTGGCTTCCTGTCTTGTGGAGCGCTTGCTGTTGGACTCTGGCCAGAGATGCAAGCTCAGGCAATGTCTGCAAAATAATCTTACTGGCACATGTGTCCACTAATTGTTCGAGTACGCAGATGGGGCTACTGGGTTTGGCAACGAGGCGTAGCCCGATGATCCCAAGCTGCAGGCTCGTGCTGAGACGATCGCCCATTTTGAGGCGATACCAGGATACTCCCCCTCAGCTTGCCGCGTCCTTTGCCCGAGCCTCAAGTTGACTCGGAGATTGTTGAGGGAATTCGAATTATTAGGAATGTATTTTATTACTTTCGGTGTTTTTATGCTTTTTGCTTTTGCTTTCTGTTGCTTTCGTCCCCCAACCCCCTCCCGCTCTTTTGAAGCTGGGCTTGCTCGAGCGCCTGCTGCTTGATGACGTTCTTGAGGGCTCTATAAACATACGCGGTTCCCGTGAGTCCCATATTGTATCGTTCTGAAGCTTTGCGCAGAGCTTTGTCTCGTATGTGACGGCAGGAACCGCTTGTTTTCGGAGTTCATCATGCTTTTGTTTGTGTTTGGCGGGTCACAGGTGAGACGACTTTTCGGTCCAAAGGACTCGGTTACATCTCACTTACCCAGCCCTGGCATGCTTGAGCGCATACTGACACGGCTGTCACGCCTCAACCAGATTTCTGCGCCAGGCTTTTGAATTTAAGTAGATGCAAGACAATGGGCTGCGTCCGACCGTGTTTCTGTGCCCCAAAGGAGCGAAAAAAGAGCGATATGTAAAATTAGTTATATATATATATGTACGAAACGGGAGTGAGTGAGATAGAGTGAGAGAGAGAGAAAGAGAGAGAGAGACAGAGAGTTTCTGGGTATGTCTTTAGTTGTTTACCTGCAGTCGCAAGCAGCCGACAAAGCCAAGTCAATGCGGGGCTGCCTTCATCTCTGCCATGAAAGGATTAATCGGCTCGATCGCGAACGGCTGCAGCACCCGTCGAAGATGCCGTGTCCGCGAAGTATACCTGGCCAAACCACTCACCCATCGTTTGAGCTGGCTGTATGGCCGTTGTACTCTGACATGACCTCTGCTCGAAGTCCGCGCATATCACATGCTAGCTGGACTGCATCCTCCTGCCTTGACACTCGCCCCAGGGCGCAGCCCACAGCTGCAGCCAGCACGGGGACAGCACGAGACCTCGGCGACCGACGGCATGCGCCGAAAGGTGACTTCAAAAGGCAGCCCAGTCTGAGCATGGCCTCGGCGGGGGCCTGCTGGCGCAAGCCGGAGAAGCTCCTTCCGACTTCACAGAAACCAAAAAACGGCCCAAAAGACTGCCTGCATCCCTTCAAGATCACAGGGTCATCTGCAGATTCCGCGGTGGTTCATTAGTCTGATCACAGCCTGAATGCACAAGCACGAGTCTCAGCATGCCGGGCCTTGACATACACAATGCCCAGAAGGGTTCAAACGCTGAGCACATGTTGCAGCCTGCGAAGAGACGATGCAAGACTGGCCGTGAGAGCCCTGTGGCCTTAGCACATAACGGAAGCCTCCAAAGCTGGAAGCATGGTGGATCCGAGACAAGCCGAGAGTGTGTGAGCTGACAAATGTTCGCTGCTGCATGTGCAGTATGCTCTTTGTCGAGTCGGTGTGGTGCGTTTCATGCGTCATGATGAGTTCTCTTGAGGCTGGAGTACGGCCAATACTACTGAGCTCTTACCGCAGTATGTGCCTGATGCTCACACACAACGCTCTTAACTCCTGCACTGCACGGATTCTTTGTCCTTCAGATACGCAACAGGGAATCTGAGAAGTCGGTGAGACTTGTTCGGTCGTCGGATTAGAAACAAACTCGCAAGGAACTTCTTGGAATGTCGTGGACCCATGCACCATGACATTCATGTCAGCACATAGGTTCGTTCCCAGATAAACTTCCTGTTGAAGTTGAACACAGTTTGGAGCCTCACAGCGGCACCCACGCCTTCCATGTGCAGGGCTGCAACTCGTCCAAGAAAGCTCGGGGGGGTCAGGGTTGTTGCGACAGATCTGGGTCCGAGCTACGAGCGCCTCCCAGGCACGCACCAAGCCGCAGGAGAAGCGCAGCGTCGCATGGGGAAACACCCCCCTGAACTGGAAGAAGAGGCCCAGGCACCTTCGAGCATCTCGACAGGATTGTGCTAGGGTCTCGAAAAAAAGTTGACCCCTCTGATGGTGAATGATGCATCTCGGGTGTCGGCGACAGGCAGGGAGGGGAAGATGTGTAAAGTTCGACCTGGCAGGAAGCGTTCAGAAGTACAAAAGAGCACGGCATCTCCAACTCATCCAGACCTCGCCGGTCAAGTTCACCAGCTCCCGCTGCTGGCACAGGGAGGTAAGAAGCTGCGCCTCAAGCTGTAGCCATCCCTGTACTCTGCGCGCCGGATAACTGCATGTAAAGTCGGGTATTTTACAGATCGTGTGACAGTCTCCACAGTAGCTTTTCCCATGCGGGGCCTCGGCACACAAAGCCCTGTCGACCCAGCGGCTGAGAGGAAGATCTGTGGGTGTGAGCCACCTGGCCAGCCACCACGCACCCCAGCCATCACAGGAGCCGATCCTCGAGCTTTACAGATACTTCCCATTTCGGAACTCACGCAGGGGACTGCACCTGTAATCTGCGACCCAGCCATCAACTCGCAGACCATTTTCAAACCTTGGAACAGCCAGGCTTTTTGGACTCACATCTCGGTTGGTGCGGAAGCCGCTGCTGCCAAGTCGCAAGAGGCTTCCTCTCTTCGCCTGGGCTCCTGCACAGAGCACAGGGGAAGGGGGGGGGAGGGGGAGGGGGGAGGGTCTCAGAGCTTCGATGGCAATTGCGAGTGGCAGAAGATGGTCCTGTGAAGGTGTATTCAGCGTACGCGAGGATCCGAGGCCGGCGCCAGCCGTGAACAGGCCTTCGTACACTTCGCGGACTTTAGATTACAGCACAGGATTTGCTTGGCACAACTGGCTTCTGTGATGACAGCAGAGAAGCTGGCTAGCTGCACAGCTTCAGTCAAAGAGTTGGTCTCCACAAGTCGCTAGAGAAGCGCTGCGAAACAGAACTCCCTTGCGGAGGTGGGCAGGCTTTTGCGGCTGTAGTCATGACTCGGCTTCAACGTCCTTGCCTCAAGGCTAAGGCTGTGCAGCGAGAATTCAAAAGTTTCGCTCAGCCGGGTCCATGAAGTGGAAAACTCCACGTAGAGAACATTAGCTCACTTGGCTTCTTTGGCCTGTACTGCTCAGAGATGTGTCCCGCTTCACATCCAGTATTTGGCGAGCCATCGCTTGCCAGGGCTGGACTCGTCCTGCGCTTATCATAATCGTCAGCAGACTTTAACTCTAAACCCTAAAAGCCTGTACCCTATACCCTATACCCCTAAGGCCTAAACTTACCCCTAAACCGCCTTTAGAAACGTGTCGAAGCTGTTTCAGTTCGTGGCTCCCTTGCCTCATGGTGCAGATTCCTGAACACGGCACTGCGACACTCCGACTTGTCTTCCGATGACAACTCGGGATTGAACATCAACGTTACCCGCGCCTGCCCTGTTTAAAACAGGGCATCCTCTTCTGAAAATCCCCACTCCAACTCGCTTCTGAACCATGAAGACAATGAGCAGTAGATCCATCTTGTGCTTGACATAGGTACAAGAAAAACTCATGATGACTCATGATGGTCCTCTTCACCCGTGCCGACTTCGTTGTTGGTGTTCCTCCCTGCCACAGTACCTGATGGCTTTTCCTCAGGCACCGGGCACAGTAAGGTTTAAGTTCCGCCTTGTGACTCGTTGTCTTATTGCATCCTGAGCATCCTCTCTGTGGCTTTGACTTGCTCGAAGCTCGGGCCCTTTGCACTTTTCCGGAGATTCAGGAGAAAGGCTTTCGTCCTGCACAGCTGGGCATGTGTCTAGCATGTCGGCAATCGGCCCCGTTGACAAGACTCCGGACATGTTTCTCACCTCATCCCCAGATTGCTTCTCGTTTGCCCTCTTCAGAGCATCTTTGAAGGCTTGTCGTTCGGCAGCTTCTCTTTCCGCAGCTGCTTTGCGGGCAGCCTCTTTCCTTGCTTCTTCCTCCTCGGCCTCTTTCCTGGCGGCTTCCTGCATACGTTGTAGAGCAGCCTGCCTTTCTGCAGCCTCCCTGCGGGCCTTAAGCTGTTCAGGCTCTGTTTCTGCAACCTCTTTGCGGGCGGCCTCTTTCTTGGCGGCTTCCTGCTTAAGTTGTTCAGCAGCCTCTGGCTCTGCAGCCGCGGCCTCTTTCTTGGCGGCTTCTTGCATGCGTTGTAGAGCAGCCTGCCTTTCTGCAGCCTCCCTGTGGGCGGCCTCTTTCTTGGCGGCTTCCTGGTTAAGTTGTTCAGGCTCTGTTTCTGCAACCTCTTTGCGGGCGGCCTCTTTCTTGGCGGCTTCCTGCTTAAGTTGTTCAGCAGCCTCACGTTCTGCAGCCTCTCTGCGGGCGGCCTCTTTCTTGGCGGCTTCCTGCATACGTTGTAGAGTAGCCTGCCTTTCTGCAGCCTCTCTGCGGGCGGCCTCTTTCTTCGCGGCTTGTTGCTTGAGTTGTTCAGCAGCCTCTCTTTCTGCAGCCTCTCTGCGTGCGGCCTCGTTTTTAGCTGCTTCCTTCTCAAATTGTTCAGCAGCCTCGCTTTTCGCAGCTGCTTCACAAGCAGTCGCAGTGCCTTCCTGCTTGCGCCGCTCTTTGAAATCAGCTGCGAGGTCTGCCTGGAGCTTTCAAACTATCACATTGACGTGGTCTCGAAGCCCGTCTAGTCTCGTGGATAGGACTTGACCATGCCGAAAGTCCGAGTGGCAAATGAAAGCCGCTTGCAAAAGCTGATCGGGCAAACTGCAGACTGATCCTGAGCTCAGTGTACTACCAGTTCGGAGGAGAAGCACAAAGGACTAAGTGCACGGTGGGCCAGAGCGCGGACAAGATGCATCTGCAAGCAGGTCGACGAAGGCATCTGATGATTGGAGCTGAAGAGTTTTGTCCTTGCACTGACGACAGAGAGATCCCTGCAGCATCAACAAGAGGCGACCGAAAATTCATCCCTTGCAGCCAAATCTCCGAAGACAAGCCCTCTGCGCAGAGTTCCGGCACGAGCACTACGCCGGTCTGAGCCTTTGCAAGAAGAGGCTCGTACAGGACCGTCTAGAACCCGATTTAGGCTCCTGTTTGGGGTCCTTGGCCCTGCGCAAGGCAGAAAGCTTGGAAACTCCGAGCGGCCGGTAGAAGCAGCTTCACCGTCCCTTCCGTGACGGGAACGTCTGCCGGTAGCGTGACCGTGCCCGAGCCGAGGCCCCCGAAGCGCTTGTCCTGCGTGTTGAAGACCTCACCACAGAGGCTCTGAAGGGCAGGAAGCTGAAGTTCTGCAATCTGCTCTGGGCTGCCCCACTATCTTGAAGGCACATGACACACCTCGCAACGAGGCCACGGAGCTACGCGAAGGAGGTCTGACTATGCAAATCTGCACGCCTTTCAGCTGAAGGATGTCGAAGTTGAAGGTCGAATCGTTGGTGTTGAAGTTCATGGCAAATACTATCCCCACGCCACGCGTGAAGACTAGCACCTGCTTCTTCTCGTCCTGACAGTGGAAACACCCCTACGTCACTGTCTGTCTCTTTACTGCGAGTGCCTTGTGGATCACCTCAGGCTTGGGATCCGCCAACCACTGCAGACTCCGCTCTGTTCGAAGGAGGCACATCTGGAACATAGCCAAGTTCCTGTAGTGACACTTGGCGTCCTCAGGACTGCAGGCTTGGCTATAGCGACTATAGGACCTGAAGATGGCCGAGCTCACGGCGGAAGCGAGCTCTACGGGGAAGCGAGCATGCTCATCGCTGAAGTCATTGCTCTTTCTAGGGAAGTCGATCTTGCCTCAGACAACGGCAAGCTAATTTGGAAAAATTTGGCTGTGCATGCACAACTGCGAGTCCCCAGCGTGCAGCATCCACAGCGGAAATCGAACAGCCGAGGCGCCAATCCAGCCAAAGTCGCTTCCCAAGCAGGTCAGAGTGGCATCGCCTCCAAAACCCAGGAACAGCAAGCCTCAGATTACCGCACCCTCCGCAGACACACACTTCCGAGAGGCAGGAGGCGTCTTGCTCAAAGCAAGACGTGTCATGCATTTCATCTGTGTGAAGCCACGGCAGCCGCAACGGCCATGGCTGACAACAGCCGCTTGCACTTTCTCAAGCTTCTCAGACCTATAGCACATCTTCAAAGGTATCATGACACCATGAGCCCACATATCCTTGTGCAGTACAACTCTGCGAACGATCTCTTTTGTCACTCAACCCTGACCGCACTCACCCTGAACTCCTAAGCGGGACAAGCAGAAAGCAACAGCCTAAACCCTAAACTCGAACCCTTCGTGCATCCTTGACCTCAACGGTTTGCACTCGATCTCTACGGAGCGCTACGGTAAATTTCCCCAAGAGCCCCCCAAGACAAGCGGCGGCCCAGCTTCAGGAGCGCGGTGGCGCCATGGCCGAGCGAGGCGGCCAGGGGAGGCTTCGGGCTCCTCCCGGCCCTGGCGACTTCCGCAGCCGGCGCCTCCTGATGCCAAGGGGGGGTTTAGGGGGGGTTTAGGGTGCTTCGGAGTTTCTTAGAAGAGTTTCTGGGCTTAGGGTTTGGGGTTTAGGGTCTTCGGCTTAGGCTTAGTGCTCCTCAAGGCCGAGCAGGCTAAGATAGACCTCCTCCGTGCGCTTCGCCAGGAAGTCCCAAAGGAAATGCTGCTGCACTTGCTCTTGCCCTTGCTCGCCCATCCAACCTGGACCATGGCTTTAGAGATCCCAGACTCTACAGTTTCCCAAAAGTCTGTCCGGGCAGGTGGCGAGCATGATCCCGGTTCTCACAAATCTTGCAGAGACCCCAGGCGATGCTGCCTGACTCCTTCGCTGAAGCGCGACAGGTATTGAAATTTCAACCCAGCTCACACGTGACACAACATGAGGCAGCAGTTGAACAGTATAGAGACATGACCAGCAACAACAACCCTGCATACAGATGATATCCTGGTCGACAAGGTAGCCAGTGACATTCGGTTGCACAAGCCGTGGAAGCTCGCCACAAGAGCCACCCACGACGGGCCTTACTCTGCAAGGACCGCTACACACCGCACAGTAGACATCAACAAGGCTCTGCATGAACACATGCACAAAAATGCAACCCTGCCTGCCAGCTGCCCAGCTTTCAATGACAGATACGCCATAGAAGTCTTGTCGTGCTGGTATGACCACCTGAGCTTCTGGGCAAGGCAGAAGGATGACCTTTGCACCCAGCAAGAAGATACGATAAGTCATAACAGCCGAAGCGGAAATCTTGAACTCTGAGCCGAGATGCCGCATCACAGGCTGCCATGTACCTCAGGTGCTCTTCCGTCCCCGGCTGCAGCGCCTTCACAGGGCCCGCGGCACATGGAAGAAAGGCTGGGAATATCTCAGAGCCTTCGCGAAGGTCACGGACTCTTCCACGTTCAACTCGGAAGCGCGGCGCTCCAGGGCGCTGCGCAGGTGCCCAGAGCCTGGCTCTGCTCAGAGTTTTGGCTCAGTCTGGCGGATGTCATGTGACAGCTGCGAACGAACGTGTATGCTTGCCGCAGACGACGCCTAGCGAAGTTCACGCATGGGCTCCAGACCGAACTTGCAGGCTTGAGTAGACTGTAACCCTACGGAGCACGAGCCAACCACATCAACCCTCTTTAGCGCGACATGCTAAGACCGCACCTGCAATGATGAAGTGCGCATCGCGCCAGTGCTGCAAGACGAAAGGGACAGCCTGGAGCGCGCTCCCAAGTGCAGTACGAAGTTGCTGGGTGAATGCACCCGAAACGACTCGCCTCGAGGAGGACGTCCGGCCCCTTCTGGGGAAGCAATCGACCCGAGAAAAGTAGAACCTCGGCGCTGCTCGCTTTACATGTCGTCCGACCGCCAATCCGCAAGATCTCCACAAGGTACCCAGAGACTCCAATACCCCTTAATTGAGGAATATTCCTTAAATTATAGTAGGACCCCCAATAAGATTTAAGGTATATTCCTTAATTAAGGGGTATTGGAGTCTCTGGGTAATTATTGTGACATGCAGTAGGAAGCAAGCTTGATGAGATCAGCCTGGCCAATTCTATCCGAAGCGACTGGCTTGTTCTCCTCAAGGCATAAATCATCCCGCGCAGCAGTCTGCTGTTCCGCTGTGAATTTATCGATTGTCTCCGCACCTGAAGCAAGCACTTTCTAATTTCTCTCGGGACCATGAGACATGCTCTGTTCAATTCTAGCAGTCCCGGCCGTTGTGAACCACTTGGATGTCTTTGCCTTTCAGGTCGTACTGAGAGTACACGCTGTCACCTGATTGCCCCGATTCATTGCACGAAGCTTCTGAGAGAGAGTGCGAGGGCGATAGCAACAATCGTAGTGCAATGACAATGGTAAAAGCGTACAGAAGAGGCCAGTTTGTAGCTGTCCTTCATCAGCTACACTTGCTTCCCCCCAGGCTGTGAATTCCCAGAAGAAAAGACCAATGCGGCGAATCCGCTCGATTTGTGTCGGTCTTGCGCACGTCTCCATTTGCCAGTGTCAGTCTTCCAAGCTATCCAGTTACAGTTCAAGAGCCCAATAGCCCTTAATTAAGGAATATACCTTAAATTATAGGGGCCTTAATCTTATGATTTAAGGTATATTCCTTAATTAAGGGGTATTGGGCTCTCTGGAAACGCTCCATCTTTGCGAATCGGTTCTGAGACCATCGGAACTGGCTTACGGTGACCAGTCCCTCGATGCTGCTGGCTAGGAACATGTTACTAGTATGGGTCTTCAGCTACAGCTTGCTCCTGACTTGCCTACTTGCCGGACTGGTGGGTTTGGGATTGTCCCTCGGACCACTTCGATTTCTGACGAAAGCTAACTTTAGGATGCCCTGAATCGGACCTTGATGAACAATCTGCATGCGTGCAACGGTGCACAAGCTGCATATACACAAACAGGCGCCGCCAACATTTCGGAGGCTCGTTGGCAAGATATGCAGCTGTTGTCCTTCAAATCCTCTGCGCCCTTGAAACTATGACTCAGGTTACGGGCCTTGTGACGGTTTGAAGTGTGTGGTGGGGATCATGTTTCCGAAAGAATGCTTTGGGGCACGCCATGAGGTGGCAACTGCATGCTTTTGCTGAGAATAATCACAGCTTGTTTAAGCCCCTGGCGAACCGTCTGCGATGCCGCAAAAAGCTTGTCAAACATCTTGAAAGCTTCACCCTCGAGATTGATGACTTGATCGCTTTGGCCACCTGTGACGTGGCTCAGCGTGTGGTTCACAGAAGCATGAAGAAAAGAGGCTCTGTGAGCAAGCTTCGGCGCACCGTAGTCCGCGCCGCTGGAGCGGCCCTGCTCCGTGGAGTGGATCGTGAGAACAGAGCGAACTTCCTTCCGTAGCTCCGCACGAGTACGTGCGACCAACCTGGGTTGCGGTCACGCTCCACCAAGTTGGATGCTTTAGAGCAGATGGCTACGCCCAGTAGTGATCCAGATAATTGAGAGTTTCAAAAATTTCAATCAAGTGGTGTCTAGCCGTTGTGCCTGCCGCAGATCAAGCTTCCTGAAGGCCAAGCCTGCTCGTCGGCCCCCTTGCATAACTTCTTGGTGGTGTGTTGTCTTCTGCATTACAGCACAAGACAGGCCTGCGAACGGAACCAGATTCACTGCATTGTCGTGATATCGAAGTTACAGAGTACTGGCACACATGAAGCAAGCAACGGCACCTTGCTTAAAGAAATATTCAGGTGCTGTCGCACAACCTCAAAGGCACATGCCTGGCCCGTCGCCGAGCAGGAAGAATCGACTTCCGCCTGTTTCCGTCGAGGAACCATTCATGCCCGTGAACCACATCAAAGGGTCCATAGGCAGCTTCATGGCCAGTCACAGCGGCTGCCAAGGCTTTGCAGAAATGCCCTGTTTCCTCCACGAAATCCATGCTCAGCTGGTATGGCACCTACGAGTAGCACTCCGGGATACGACTGTCTTTGAACAGCATCAAAACCCCCCAGAGGCCGTAGTACGTTTTCGACGGCCCGCGCCTCGTGGTAGACGACACCTTTCACCGTCTCCACAGTTATCTTGATGCCATGGCTGGCACGTGTGAAGACGTGAACCTCGTGGCCACGACGGACCAATGCCTCGCTGAGGTAGGTGACGTAGGGGGCCACGATGCCACCCGACACCGTGTGGACGGTCTCCCAGGCCAACATGCAGACAGAGAGCCTCAGGCTGCGTTATATGGACACCAGGTTGATGCTGTACTATTCTGCTTTGCCAGGAGACGGTCCCTGGCTGACAATGAAGTCCTCACAAGTCTGCAACCGTCTAGGATGATTTCAGCTACGAGATGCCCTGCTTTCCCTATGACCCTCATGCATGCGCACAAGTCCTCCGTGCTCTCCATGCAGGACATCACCAAACCGTCGCACTCCGTGCGAGCGCTCAGTGGCTCCATCAGCGAGCGCTCCAGCTTTTCCAAGGGCCTGGCCTCGCACAGAAAGGCTCCGATCAGCTGAGGTACGGTCTTCCCATGACTCTGAACCCTATAACATCAAAAAATATCAGATCATATCATACAGTCTAAAATTAACCAACCTTAAACCAATCCTAAAAACTAAACCGCAGTTTTGAACGACTTGAAGAGGGCTGCTTGCTCAGGGATGGAGCAAGCTGCAAAAGAGCCCCACCTACCAGAAGGTCCAGACTTGGCGGACAGTAGTTTAGGTCCCAAAACAAAACCCAAGCTGAACCCCACTCTTCAGACTCTCTTACGGGTTTAGGGGTAGGGTTTAGGCCCTAAACCCTACCCCTAAATTCACTCGCTTCAACCGGGCCTTCGAGGGAGGCCCGGGCTCGATCACCAAGCGGCGCGAGCCCGGCAGAAGCCGGCTGAGATCGGCGCCGTCTGCCTGGCAGAAGTCACAGCCGAAGCCGCCGGAGTCCAGGGAAGCCTTGGACATCACAGGGTTTAGGGTTTAGGGCATGGCGGCTCCGGTTCTTGGGTTTAGGGGTTTTTTGATGGTGATGGACTGGAATACCGAGCTCTTCAACTAATCCAGAAACGATTTCCACAGGCTGGTGAAGCCAGACTCTAGACTCTAGACGAGATTCGCACGTGGCATCGATATCACCACTCCCAAGAAGGATAACATCCCTGCCGACTTCCTTTGCAGCCGATCTCACAACTGCGGCCATGGTCATGGCGAAATGGGCGACGGGTGCTTCCGCGTCTTCCGCCATGTTCTGTACAGGACCGGGCATGCCATCCTTAGTTGAGTTCCAAGACCTCTCACCCGTAGAGGGGACTTGAAAGTTCAGCTCAAGAGCCATTCGAAATCCATCCACGCCAACCTCCACCCAATGCCTCAGCCCGGCGTTCGTGGTATCTGAAAACGAAGCCAGTCCCACACCTCTCCTACGCGAAAAGATGCGCACTGCATACCCCCAACTGGCACCAATGTGGTCCGGACAGTCAATGCGACAGGTAGTACATTATCATGTAATATAATATAATATAATATACTATAATATAATATAATATAATATAATATAATATAATATAATATAATATAATATAATATAATATAATATAATATAATATAATATAGTATCATATAGTATAATATAGTATAATATAGTATAGTATAGTATAATATAGTATAATATAGTATAATATAGTATAATATACCATAGTATAATATACTATAGTATAATATAATATAGTATAATATAGTATAATAGAGTAGACTATAATATAATATAACGTAATATTGTATAATACAGTCTAATACCGCTTCAATAGCCTGCTGCAGTTGATCACTACCCTTGGAGGTCGGCTCCAAGGCGCTTGACGGAGCAAAGGATGTGTTGGGCGACCTCTTTCCGACCAAAATCCTTGGCTGACTTCTGAACCCATCCTAAAAGTTAAACTTTTAGCTCCTTTATTCTAGGTCATATAGAAACCCAAAAAGTTAAAGTCCTAAGAGCCAACCAAAAGAACGCCAAGAATCGAAGCTCTTCACAACCGTCTGCGTCTCCTCAGCCCGGAAATACCAGGGTGGTAGGCTGGATTCAGCTGGATCGGCACCAGATGGTAGCTCCAGGATAACAGCCAGTCCCAGATCATGTGCTTTCTGAAGGAAAGCTGAGAAGTCTGATGAATCTCCCACCACCGGGGAGACTGCCATCAGGCTGCCTGTGGCAAACCTACCTTTTCCGTTGTAAAGCCCTTGCAGCAAAACTCCATGGTAGCCAGAATGAGCAGCCCTTGGCAAAAGAGAGCGTGCGAATTTCAAGCTTGGCTTTTGTCCTTTTTGTATGGCCAGAGTAATGTCAAGCTCGTACAGATGAAGCTTCTTCCCCTTGAGCTGTAGGCTCTGGTGAAGGTCCTTCCCGGGTTGACCTCTGCCTGTGCGGGGGGGCCAGACAACCGCATTGTGATCTGTAGTCTTGGCGTTGATGGCATAGCGAGTGGCCCACACAGGGACCATGTCCCATGGCGCTCCCTCGTTTGGCACAATATGGAGTCTGTACTGGCTGCCCCTTGTGAGCGCTGAATTCAAGGGTATGCTGATCTGGCAACACCAAATCTCGGGATGGTCTTTTGCCTTCATGAGTGGGGTGGCTGTTTTGTTCCATCCGTTGAAATCGCCGAAGAGATATGTGGCTTTTGCATTTGGAACCCATTCTCTGTACTTCCACCGTCCACCGGCGCCGTGATGCAAGCCAAAGTCCTTGAATGCCGTCGTCATGGATTCGAGGCTTCCTCGGCGCCACGTTCCAAAGATCGTAGCAGTACAGAAACATACAGAAACTGCATAATATAGACATGCTTACTGGTGTTATCATTCGCACTGTGATGGTTCTTTTAATGTTCATTTTGTTCTTTTATCAGAGCCGAGGAGCCCGGCTTCGCGAGTGCCTCTTTGTAGCCTTTGGCTCGGCTTTGACAGAGGGCCTTGCGCTCTTCGGGGGAGAGGGGCGCCCGCCTCGCAACCTTCTCCTTGCCCGGATCCGCCACCTCCTGAGACAGCTACTTGTAACGGGATTCTTCCATGCCTGGCTACGAAAAACCGTGAAAAACTCGATGCAGTCGAGATTCATCGCTGGTGGCTTTTGCGGTGCTCGGGGATTTCTTCCGCCGCCTCGCGGAGAAGCTGCTGGATCTGCTGAGACCTTTCTTCGGGGTCACGGAGGCCGAGGCCGAGGGGGTCCTTGAGGGCGAGGCGGAGGCCGATGCCGAGGCAGAGGCCCTGGAGGGTGTCGTTGGGGCTGGGGAGTCGAGGAGGTCCATCATCGAGTTGGGTCCCAGCACCATGGCTTCAGGATATACCAGGCCGGCATCGATGGAAGGATCGAAGAACTCGTCTCGAGAGGGAGCGGAACTCGTCCCCCCCACCACCGAAGGTTGTCGGCTTATGGTGGCTGGCTTCCAAGTCTTTTTTGGGACGTCTGCTTCTAGCACTCCCCCGCTGCAGACCGTGTAGTCTCCGGGGAAATAGACGTGGAACATCCCATCCGGCCAGACTGGACTGGTAAGTGTGCTCCCGTTTGGAGCGATGAGGGCAAAGATCGCATCGAAGTAGATATGCAGTGTCACGCAGCTCTCAGCATTGAAGCGGAATTGCCGAAGATACTTCTTCCCACCATCTCGGATCTCCAGTGCAAGATTCACATCAGTGGGATTGTCGATGTCATGCTCCTGTGCAGAGAGGTTGAAGGAGTGCAAGTGCATCAAGTGCCAAATGTGCTCAGAACGGTTTGGGGTTTGGGGTTTAGGATGGTTTGGGGCTTGGGCTCTCATTGGCTCCTTCAACCAACGAGCGTCAAGCCACACACGAATGCCTCCCTCAAGCATAGATGCCGGCGCCAGTACTTGCGCAGTGCGTGCCGGGATGTACAAAAGGCAGGATGCCGGCCTGCACTGAGAGCTTGGAGAAGGGACTAGACTGCGTGATACCGTGTCGATGCTAGGGCCTATGGGGCCGCTGAAAACTCAAAAAGGAATGACCTTTTTTAGAGGCCCGAGGCGCCTGTTGTGCGTGGGTCCGCCCGAAGGCAGGGGCTTGCCATGGCCCTCCTCGAGTCGGCAGTGGCCGCCAAAACGCTCCTCGTCGGTATCCAGGACAATGCGCATCGGCTCGTCCTTGCCGATGCCCACCTTAAGAGAGAGAAGAAACGAACAGAGCAGCTAGAAGCAGCCAGGGAAGCAGCCAGGGAGGACTAGCCGAGTGATGGTTTCGGTTAAAGCAAGGTGCCTTGTAGCCTTGGAAGCTGCGGCCCGGATCAAGGTTTACAACGAAGGTGACACTGCCACGTTCGAAGACCAGCACTTTGTCCATTGCGTTGCATACTGTAACGAACTCGTGCTCCGAACTGAGCCACTTGAACCGGTTCTCGAGTTGCTGCATCAGTTCGTCAAAGTTCTGAAAGTACTTGTAGCGCAAGGCCTGGTCATCTGGCAAGTCCCAGCGCCGCCTGCAAAAGTGGTGGCTCCAGTCGTTGCTTGCCTGCGGGAAATCCACCCATTCGGGGTGGCCAAACTCGTTGCCCATGAAGTTCAGGTAGCCTGCACCCCCCAAGCCAAGCACCAGAAGCCGGAGAACTTTGTGCAGCGCCAACCCACGGTCAACAACGATCGAAGGCTCCGGGCACTCTGCCATGCTCATCCCATAGTACATTTCTTGATCCATAAGCCAGAAGGCAATGGTCTTGTCGCCGACAATGGACTGGTCATGAGACTCCAAATATCCTATACACTTCTCCTTCCACCGCCTGTTGGTGAGAGTGTGGCAGATGTGATTCATGTCCCAACAGTCATCAGGGACTTCCTTTAGGAGTTTGATGAACATGTCAGGGATTGCCATCGCCAGGCGGTAGTCAAAGCCAAAACCGCCATCTTCGATAGGGAGGCATAAGGTCGGCATGCCGCTAACTTCTTCTGCCACGGAGATTGCAGATGGCACCAACGAGTGAATCAAGTCGTTTGCCAGCATGAGATAGACTTGTCCCTCAAAATCTGCATCACCCCCGAAATAGTCATGATAGCTTCCACAATAGCCCTTGCCTATTCCGTGCGAGTGATACAGCATGGATGTGACCCCGTCAAACCGGAAGCCATCGAAGCGAAATTCCTCCAGCCAATACCGAATGTTGGAGAGCAGGAAACGAAGCACTTCATGTTTTGTGTAGTGAAACAACTTGGAGTCCCATTGAGCATGATGGCCTTTGAGACCACCGTGGGTATAACAGTGATCAGTGCCGTCCATCATCGCAATGCCATCCAACGAATTTGACGAGCAATGGGCATGGACCAGGTCCATGATGATTGTGAGCCCTAGTGCGTGCGCACGGTCCACAAGCTGCTTTAGTTCTTCTGGCGTTCCACATCGGCTTGAGGGCGCAAAGTAGGAAGTGACATGGTAGCCGAAGGATCCATAGAAGGCATGTTCCGCCACTGCCATCAGCTGCACTGTGTTGTAGCCCAGGCGTTTGATTCGGGGAAGCACGCTTTCTGCAAATTCTACATAGGTGGCCACTTTGGGCTCCTTTGAGCTCATGCCAACATGCGCCTCATATATCTTTGGAGACGCAGGCTTGAGCGGCCTCACAGGGATAAATCACCATGGGATCATAGGCTTCGGGCTGTCCGGATCCGTTGACTTTGCTATCGGGTAGGTTTTTCCACTCCGGCCTGTCGTGCTTGAACACGAACTGCTCCTCTTTGGGCGGGGACCAGAAGACACCATTGAAAAGATTGGTGTTGTGATCCTGCCACGCCAGCCGAGTCCAAGCAGGCACCCTCTCGATCCACTGACGGTCGTTGGTTTCCACTCCTGATGACACGACTCTAGAGTCTACGGCTTCTTATTTACTTCTTAAGCCTTCTCCGACCAACGAGCGTCTGCAATCACGCATGACACCACGTGCCGACGAGGGTCGAACTTTCACCTGGCTCTTGTGCGGGATTGCTGGCTTGCCCCCAGGTAGATCTTTCAGCTGCACAGACCAGTGCCCGAAGCCCTGACAGGGCAGCAAGACAGAGAACGAAGTGACGGTCGGCTATCCTGCACACGTTCCCTGCAGCTCGTCGGATGGATGCAGTCAGCTTTCATTCTGAAGGTGCAGACTGCGCATGTGTGCAACACAAAAACCTTGCAGTGTTGCTCTCTGCGAGCCTCGGATTTTAAAGGCACGGTGTTTTCCCATTTGTTGAACTCGCCGATGAGGAACACTTGCTTGGCGTTCGGCAGCCATTCACGGTAAGTGATGCTGGTTTCCTGCAAGCAAACACTGCATCCTGTAATGAGCAAGGATTGGAATGTCACAATATTCCAATACTGTTCTAGAAATAATATAGTATTATGGTACAGTATAGTAGTAACAGTACTTTTATAGCACCGTTACAGGATTGTCGGTCCTGCCGGGTGAAGCCAAACGTGTGATAGCCCTGGGCGAATTTCGCAATTCCCCCTTCCAGTTTCTCCAACTCATCTTTCCACCACCTGGTGAATTTCACACTAGGCCATGCACGCATTTCTATTCCAACCCTATAGAACCCAACCAAAAACCCTGACAAAACCCTATAAGCGTCTATGATAACCCTAAAGTTGACGATTCCGGGGCTTGAAGCAGTCGCCTGAAGCTTTTCACTCTCTCCCAGATCAGATCTCCGACACACTTCAGGGTCGGGTCCACATCGAACACTTTCAGCGACATGGCGGGGGACCCAAACCATGATGGGAATCTGATGTGAAAGCTTCTTTGGTTGGGTCTAGGGTTTAGGGTTTAGGGTTTAGGGTTTAGGGTTTAGGGTTTAGGGTTTAGGGTTTAGGATCTGATGTGAAAGCTTCTTTGGAGGCTTGTGGGTGACATCGAAAAGTGAGACTCGCTGCCTGATTGCACTATATCTGATGACCGTGCAGACATTGAATAACTGTCCGTGTCATAGTCTCAGCGAGCATGCAACACTGTACATTGCAGATTGTGGCTGCGGTTGGTTTGGGGTCATGTCCGACCATGGTTGAATCAGGTGGCGCTTGTGGGCGGGATTGACTGCTGTATCGCGGAGCGCTCTGGGGTGCCCGGCGGAGCTGTCTGGCACGCTCCCAATCGCTCACCTGGTCTAGCACAAGACTATGCAATCACAGATCCGACAGTGCAACAAGCTCCCTGCCGAGCTTGGACTTTGCCCGAAAAACGAACTCAGGGCTGGCCTCAAGGCAAATTGAAAGGCATCACTTGGCACCGTTTTGTGATTTGCAGATTGCATGTCGCCTCTGGAATTCCAATCTTCTCGCAGAGTCTCCTGGCTTGAGAAACAGCCAAAGGCTCCTTTCGACCTCTGCTGCATCCTGCAGGGCTCCTGCTTCCATGCAGACCCAAGCTGTCGATTTCAAAGATCGACACCTTAATACGAATAGTAATGCTAATATTTCTACTACTACTACTACTACTACTACTACTACTAGTATTGATACTAATATTAATACTAAAACTATACCAATAGTAATGATAATATTACTACCAGTATTGATACTAATATTAATACTAAAACTATACCAATAGTAATGATAATATTACTACCAGTATTGATACTAATATTAGTACTAACACTAGTATTATTTCATCTCTCGGGGCTGCAGGACACTGCCGGGCCCGGCACGGCGCGAGCTGCATGCCCGGCGTCCCAAGTCTCAGTTGGAGACCAGGCCTGCACCAAAACGGCGAGAGAGGCAGAAAGATGCAGATTTTGCAAGCATGCACATACACAATCATATACATACTTACGCACTTAGACTCGACTTAGACTTCGGCATGGCAAGGGTCTTCATGTGTGACTGCGACTGGTGACCGACAAAAAGTAAATGCAGTTCCTGGTGCAGAGTGTGGCAGCCGTGCACGCACGGAAGCTGATGTAGATTTCGGCAAACGTAAAAGCTCCGACGTTGCTGGTTGGATGCTGTCTACCTTGTGTCAGCAGGCATAGGGTTCCCAAACCTCATCCCATGGTGTTGCCGTCACAATACGGCCCCCCGCCTGCAAAAACGAAACAAGCACAGAACGACTGAGCGCGGTGTGCAAGTGTTTGACACACAAACACCCTGAGTCCAACGTATAAGTAATTTATACAGTATATATCATATACATAGGTACATTCAGGGTATCGGGAGTCTTTTACTGCTTCCGCACAGTGAGCCCCGGAGGCGATCCAACGGCTCCCGCTGCGATGCAGTGCACGTGTCCGACCAAAGTCACATTCGATCTTGATGAAGCGTACTCCCATGACAGTGCGTGCGTGTATTCACGCTGCTTGCGAGTGGAAACCGTGCTCCATTGCGTCATCAGGTGTTCCTGTGTAATTGTGTAGCTGCGCTGTTGTCAAACGTGGTGAATTGCGGAGCAGTACTAAGAACGAATCCGAAGCTTAAGAAGGCAGACTAAGAAGCCTCGTTGATGAAAAGCCCGCGGGGCGACACGCCGCTAAGACACCTTGAAGAACTTCTCCACAAAGGCGTCGAGATGCAGCAGCAGCTGGCCCTGACCTGCGGAGTCGCAGAGGCAGGAGAGCTGCCTAGGGATGCAAGGCACTGCGAGGCTGCCAAGCCCAGGACAGGAGAGACTTGCATCTGCTAAGGAGCAGAGCGCCTGCCCCTGCGAAATTCAAGAGCGAGTGGAGTGTGCATCCGCCCACGTCGGTGCTGTCTCGGCGAGATAACATGGCGAGATAACCTGCAGATGACTCGCTCCACGTAGCGCTGCGTCAGATAGCGCATCCAATGACGGCCTCAGACTGACAGGCTCCCATGACCGGGGCACAGCATCCTGGCTTCGCCGTGAATCGCTTACAGCCTTCGCCCGCATTCCTTGCAGTTTTCGGTGGACCTTGGGACCTTGGCAGCATTCCAAGTGCCGAGGTGCTGGGTCATCGAGCTCGAGTCCGCAAGCCACCACCTGGAAACGAAGACAACAAAACACACGGAGGTGGGAGGGAAGGCGCATGTTTACAGGGCCTCGTGTTGGCTGGCTCTTGAGGAGAAGGCTGCAGGACCTCTTCGGACAGAATTGAGACGGTGCGAACACTTCGGAGCAAACGCCGAATTGAGACAGTAAGCGTGTTTCGGTGTGGGATCGCCTTTGGCACTGCTTGCTCCGCAGCTGCGTGTAGCAGGGCAACGCCTGCCTGGACGGACTCTTTTCTAAGAACATCCGCAACTCGAGCTCCGCACATCGTCAACTTCGGCCCTGGCAGAACTTGACGAGGCTGGGCCTTACGCAAAGTTGCACCTCGGCTCATTATGCTCAGGGGTCTCTGAACTCTGGGATACCACGACTTGCAACTTCGTAAATCCATCCCTGCAGAAGACTGAACTTGATACTCTGGCCCTGACAGATTCTGTGCATCAAGCTGCTGCAGCTGTCCGGCCTTGGTTTCGGGGCAGAGGCTTCGACTCCGAGCACCAGTGTAGCGTAGTGGAATCCGACTGACTGCGCGACACAACGTACAGCTGCCCCGTGCAGAAGTGGACCGCTCCACACCTGGCTGCAAAGGTTCAAATCCTCCAAGACCTATGAAAGCAAGAGCTGGTGCCGGCTATACCCGGAGCAACACTGCAGGGTGTGCATGCATGCGAGTGAGAGCGATTCGCGGTGGTCTTCGAAGCTCAACAGGGTGCCGGGCAGACCATCAGCGCAGCCAACGACCAGGCTGATATAGCACAATCCACATGCCCGAAGTGCTGAACTCGTCGGGAGGCCTGGCATCCGAGGTATCGTGGGAGCATGGGTTCCTCCGCTCCTCCCTTGCAAGGAAAGCCTCCGTGGCGGTGCGGGCAATGGCCGGCAGGCCTGGCAGCAAACCCCTGCAAAAGCCAAGGCTCGAGCCTTGGCCCTTCCCAGCCTCGGGCTCGCAAGGCTGCCTCGGTGCACGGGTCTGAGGGCGAGGGTACGAGGTGTACGATATGGGTTTCCGAAAAAATAGGGGTACCTTATATAGGGGTCCTTGTAATAAGGATCCTACTATTTAGGGTTCTATATTAGGGTTTTCGGAAACCCCCATATCTGATTCCAGCTTGGCCGGTTGAGGTCAGAACGTGAGCTCAGGCAATGTTGGTGATGTGCTGGGCCTCAAACCCTGAAAGACCTCACTGTTCTCTCAACTCCACAAGCATGCAAGCCTTGGCAGAACACCCCTTCGCTAAGGAAAAGACTGCCTCTTTCGATGGACACATCGAATAAGTCCTGGGGCGACTGGATGAAACATATACACTCCGGCCAAAGCTGCGTAGGACTGGGACGACCAACACAAACCCTGCTCCTCATTCGTGGTACCCAACGTGGCAGAAGCCCAGAGCAAGTTGGAGGCATTCTGTGGTGCTGGCTCTTGCCTCTTTCTCCCAACGGGGCAGAAAGCCACACAGGTTCAGCTTGCGGCCTCCTGCTCAGACTCTGCATCGTGATCACGTGGAGCAGCGGCAGGTCGCCGTAGCTCGAGGTGGCGGCTGTCCAGGCTCTGTTGGACCTGAAAACTGCTGGCCACACGAAGGCACCTGCATGCTGGCACTGCGTGAGCTCCTGAGGAATTAGCAGATCTTGTGCCGAAGAGCTCAGTATCTTGTCCTGGCTTCCAAGAGGATCTTTCAGCATTCTCGTCTGAACAGCGAACATCTGTGCGATGCCTGAGCCGTCACCACAAGGGCCTCGAGGAACGTGTCAGATCGGAGGGCTGTGCCTGCCATCTCCTATGACCTTGGCCGAAGGCCGAGGCCGACAAACGTTCCGCCGAATGATTGACCCAAGCTGTACGAATACCCAGGCCCTCGCAAGTTGGACAAGCCCTGCGGGTCAGAGCCGGCTATTTGCTCCAAGGCCTCTCGCAACTCAACTGCTCGTCCAAATCTTGTCTGACCCATCGAGGCAGCTATGTAGCGGCACATGATTGCCACTTTAGATAATCGCATCGTGGATGTGCTGAGCAAAATCGTGTTGACACCGACTGGCTTACAACCTCTTCTGCCTTCTCTCGAGCACCACGCACACTTCTTGCTTCCGTCTGAGTTATGATGCTGATCCAGGCTTCGATCTGCGAAACGAGTCCAAGCCCCTCCAGAATCCAGCACGCATCGGTGTGGATGGTTGTGTGGCGAGTGCTTCCACTCGTCATCAGCAAACGCACACTGTTTGAAAGGATAATGTGAGGAGCGCTCGGTAAGCTTCGGGCATGCCTTCGAGGAGAGAGAATCTTGTTCATGACGCGGCTGCGGCCCGGTTTCCAGTATAGCCGAACAGAGAGTCATGTAGCAAGTGCAAAGCGATGACTAGCGGCATGTGTACTCGAAATGCACGAGATGAACCAACAAGAAACTCTCGTAGCAGAACAGAAGGTTTGTCAATGACTTCACTCTGACAACCTCGTCACCGAAACTCCATGCGTGCTCAGCACCAATCTACGTCCAGACAACGACATTCGCATCGAACGATGCCCATTTCACCACAACACAGGCGTTCCTTTCAGAGGACTTGGTCTGCCCGGTTCGGGAACAACACTCTGCCACACACTCAAAATCTGAAAGGAAGTCGTACTCCACCAACGGCTCATGACTTTCATAAACAAATCGCTGCAGCATAAAGTTGAGAGCAGTCGATTGTAGGGAGGGAGACTGCCTTTTATTGCCTTGAGGCCAGGACCTGGTAAACATTATTGGCTCTCGCTGGAGCGT